TCACATTACTAGTGTGACGCCACGTTTCTAGAACTATCCTGTACCTTGGCGAATGCTCTAGCATTTACTAGCTATAGGGTAGTCTGGTATATAAAAGAGGGTGACAATGTGACGGGAATAATGTGTGTGTAGATAGTGAGTAATTGAACTGCAGCCAGAAGTATTGTTGATGTTCGTTGATATAGCGTTTGTTATAGAGCGATTGTTGAAAATAAGTGTATCGTAAAGTTGTATTCGGAAAGAATAAACCAGTTTTATTAAGTAAGGACTTGTGTCGCTAAAGTCTCGTCGGAACGAAGTTACGGAAAGTGAGACGTAACAGTATGTAAAATAATTGTGAGAAGAATAAAAATTCCTTGACAAAATATTTCAAGTTATTATTTCTTACGATAAAAGACAAGAAAATACACATCGATTCTTTCAAACTTATACATTCAACATGCTTACACCAGATGGTGCATTTATAACTTTTATCTTTTTCATATTAGTTAATTCCATTTATATTATTTGCTTTATAATTATTCATCAATGAAACTTTCTGGGACACTGTAGAGAAGACAGATTTGTCAGAATAATGTGCATGTATCCTACCTTTGAAGATGTGAAGAACAAACGAAACCTGTAAAATAACTGTGATAAGAATAAAAAAGTTCTTAACAAAATATTTCAATTTATTGTCTCTTGCGATAACAGACAAGCAAATACATATCTTTTCTTTCCAATTTTATAAATCCAACATGTTTGCTGTCTATCAGCACAGAATATACTTTACAATTAGGCAAGTAAATCCTTGAAAACCTCTGTACATTCCACAACTTGATGTCTAAACCTTCACTGCTGAAGAGTAAGACCCAATTTTAACAAGATAGCAGGAATCATTTGTAATATGTAATGGAAATAATGGATAGTAATTATAGGTATGGTTTAAAAAAGAACAGTTGTGTATATACAACCTAAAAATGAAAATGACATGGACTTTATAATGTATACTTTGAGTCAATGAAAATCTCATTACATCACAACATATATAATTTAAGATATTCGAGCCCCCAGTGGCACAGTGGTATGTCTACAAACTTACAATGCTAGAATCCGGGTTTTAATACCCGTGGTAAGCAGAACACAGATAGCTCATTGTGAAGCTTTGTGCTTAATTACAAACAAACAAAGATATTCAAAATTACATCCATTGTATGTAAGTACATCTTTAAAAAAAATGCCTAGGACATGGCCTCATCAATATCCTGTATAGGTGCATGGCACGATAATGGATAATAATCATAGGTGTGGTTGTAGAAAAAAAACAGTTGTGTAAGTATGACCTAAAAACAAAAGTGACATTTGTTTTATAAAACCTAACTGTAGACTATTAAATGAGCTATAAAAAGCCCCTGAAAATCTACCTAGTTTCATTATGCCTATAAACAGTCCAAGAGAGAGAGATAGTTAACTTCGAATATCTATTACATTATGGAAAACACAAAGGTAAAATTAATCCTTGTTACAAATTCTGTTCCCTTCATTTTTATGTCTGTTGTTTTATACATATTCCAATCTTATTGATAAACAATAACTATATATGAATAACAACTAAGACACAATTCAAATGCACTATTGGTTTCTGTAACAGGTATCTAGTAAACTTCCCCACTCAGTATCGGTGCAACAACATGAGTTATCATATTTTTCAGGAAAGCTGAACCACCTGAATATTCTCATGTATATCCACTGGGAAATGGCAGGTATATTGTGATTGTTCTATTTAATGATGAAGTGAAGATACACATTCGTCAATATAGAGACTATGGTAATGGCACATCATACCCTACCAAAGAAGATGTAACATTTACAAATGTTGAAAGCCAAGAATTTACATAACTGATACCATCAATGACTAAAGCCATACATTTGAAATACAGTGACTTTGGTCTGGATCATTCTAAACGTAATATTAGTGATGTATGTATGTATATTATAAACTGAACATGTAACCCCTGTCATACAAAAGCTTAGAAAGGAGAATTGCTGGGCTTCCAAAGTCAATTATTCCAGTCAAGCTGCTCATACATGCATGATGTTGGATCATAATGAAAATATCTGGCTATATGTGAGGACTGCTTTGACTGAAATGGATACAAACATTTTATTAGATGTGTTTCAAGATAGAGCTAGCGAACTAAATGTACATGATTATAAGAATTTAAATTCCATTGATTTTGTTGAAAGTAGGGAATTCATTCAAGAACTGCCTGACTTCCTAAGTAACTGTATTCTATATCTGTATGACAAATAAAATATTTTCAAGAGATTTGTTGTGTTTCCTCACCTACAAACAAGATTATTATGATACAAGAAGATTAATATATTCTACTTAAAGCAAATCACTCTGACAATATCTTCAAATAAATATACTCGATGGTTCCATCCTCTCAAGATATTTGTGAACGTTTCTTGCCACCCACTTATATTGCGTGAAATCTGTCTCTGTTAGAAATTGCTTCATAAATGGTTGTTTAAAGAAAAACACACCCATATAAACACTGTATAAACATTTGAATGCTAGTTCTTTTATAACATATAGTCCATCCTTCAGATAAAATCCTTCAATATCTATCATGGCCAAAGTCATCACGATGTATGGACATATATTGCTTGGGCACGTACACTATAATCTCATCTCCTGGAAATAAACCAGTTCCTAAACATAATTGTTCAGGAATTGGTGGTTTCAAATCGATGATTAAATATCCAGACACATGCCGAGTTGCATCTTGATAGGCTTTTTCAAAGTATTTGATATGTGTCAAAAATATTTGTCTTGCTAAAACATTCAGCTGAGACTGGTCTCTCACATTCTTAAACGAAATTGTGTATTGAGAGTTGAAACGAATGTTACTCATTTCTCTACCCTAATGAAATATATTCTGTATAATACATAATATGGATAAATTCAAATGGTGACTTCTATTTGTAAAAAGCTGGGAAACTCCTTTATTTTCTCCACTTTCACACATAAGATCATCAATTATAAAAGATTTGTCTTTTCAGGTTGTAAATATTCATGAAATTTTTCAGGTAAACTTCGACAAAACAGATATTAGGGATAGTTTGCATTAAGTTGCAAACAACTGTCGAAATTCACTATAGAACCATACAATGTTTTCTGCAGTAGGGTAAATAATATCATGATAATTTGATAACACATTGCTAACAAATGGGGTTTTACCACTTCAAATTGGACCCAACACTAAGCAAGTGAAAGGATGTTGTAATCCATCTTTAAGGGCGTGTTGGATATTAACACCTTCAGACTGTTGCATGTAGTCTAACCACTCTATACTTACCTGATCATAATTGGTTGTTGTATTGTATCTGTGGTTAGGTGCAAGTGCTATAGACTTTTGTGGTATAAGCTTGCTTCTGTATATGGCCACGATACAGAAGCAATAATCGTGTACCTGAAAGGATCAATATTGCAGGTGATGAGAAACTCATATCTGAACTGTAGACAGCACTAATGGAGTATGTCAAAGTCTGATTGACAGTACCTAATGAGATAAAATAAATAATGTGTTTCAACAAACTTTACTAAAGTTTGTTTTTGATTTTATCGTCATATACACACAGTTGCAAGATTATGTATATTTCAATTTTTAAGAACATACAATTTTAGGTACAATAACTTTTAACAACATAACTATCAAGTGAGGATGAACCTTAGCTGTACATCTTGTCTTGAAAATCGAAGATATACCCTTCTTCTTGGTACTGTTGGTACCAGTCCAGAAATTTCTCTTTTGTGGGTGTTTCCATGGTGTCAGGTAAATAGAAACTCATATCGGGTACAGGTGCTCGATACTTTTGGTACAGATGAGGAAAATGGTCATTATCTTTCCACCAATATGACGTGACATGTCTTGATGAAATTTTGGTGATATTATATGCATCTGGGATGTTTGCTAAATGTATGTTTAGGGAAAGAAAAGAACATAAATGTAGAATTATTGATTCAACTATGCCAAATTAATATAGATATTTGTTAACACTATTGGACATACACTTACCCCAGTTTCACTACCTTGGACAGATGTTTCATTCCTCTTGAATTCTGGATGTTGTTCATAGCGTGGATTTACTCTTTCACTTTCAGTAGATAGGTTGAAACTAAGTAGATTTTCAAGGCTTTTTATACTATGTTTAATTGCCTAAGGTATACTTTATAAAACACATGATGTTTTCATTTTAAGGCCATACTTACACAGCCATTCTTTTTTACTCTATAATTTCACACAACTCCGCCTTTCATTTCCATCATATACAGTCATTTTTTATAACTCTAATAGAAAATTGATAAGACCATGTCCTAGGCACATTCTTTCCAGCTTATACTTACATACATTGCAGGTCATTTCGAATATCATAAGTTACATATTTTTAGCTCTTACATCTTGTGATGTAATGAGATTTTCAAGGATTCTTTATAGCATGCTTCATTGACTCAAGGTAAACTTTATAAAACACATGGTATTTTCATTTTAAGGTCATATCTACAGAACTGTTTTTAAAAACAAAAGAAAAAACACACCTATAATTACTATCAATTATTGCCATTACACACTATAAGTGATTCCTACTACCATGTCGAAATAGGGTCTTGCCCTCCAGTGGTTAAAGCTTAGACATCAAGTTGTGGGATGTATGGAGGTGTTCAAGGGTTTTTATAGAACGTTTACTTGCATAATTGTAAAGTATATTCTGTGCTTATAGACAACAAACAAGTTAGATTTATAAAATGTGAAATAAAAGATATGTATTTGCTTGTCTTCTTTAGTAAGAAAAAGTCAATTGAAATATTTTGTCAAGAACTTTTTTATTGTTATCACAGTTACTTTACAGATTTTCTTTGTTCTTCACATCTTTAGTAGGTAGAATACACGCGCATCATTCTGATAAATTCGTCTTTCTCTACAGTATCTCAGAAACGTTTCCATGATAATTAATAATAAAAGAAAAGACTATACATTCAATGAACTAACATTTAAAAGATATATGGAGTGACATGCTATCTTGTGAAATTCTCTCACGATGTTTCTAAGGTAATCCTATTATATTGCCTAGCAAGGTGCATACACCAACATATCGAGGGTTTACGATGAGCGAGTTAATTACGAGTTGATGCAAATATGATTCGCTGGGAAGCTAGCTAGCTTTGTCCTTGGCTGCACACGCTGTTTTCCACCATTGAAGTTAGGTAATGTTTTCGTTTGTTTGTTTTTGAATTTCGCGCAAAGCTACACGAGGGCTATCTGCGCTAGCCGTCCCTAATTTAGCAGTGTAAGACTAGAGGGAAGGCAGCTAGTCATCACCACCGACCGCCAACTCTTGGGCTACTCTTTTACCAACGAATAGTGGGATTGACCGTCACATTATAACGACCCCACGGCAAAAAGGGCGAGCATGTTTGGTGTGACAGGAATTCGAACCCGCGGCCCTCAGATTGCGAGTCGAGTGCCTTAACCACCTGGCCATGCCGGGCCCTAATGTTTTCGTAAAAATACTAATGTCCGATGAGAATCCACTGAAGTTAAACAATTTGTAACGTTCGAAATTTATAAAATTTCCTGGTCAAATATCTTAAGTTTTCCGATTGATAAGCGTTATAAAAATCGCAGTTATAGCTTTCGAAGTTTATAGCACACTGATTATAGCGAACTATTAATAGACACTTTCTTTGGCGCGGCGCGTTGGTTGTATTTATAGGCATGGGAAGGTTTTTCTAGAAAATTCAGATTACATAATAATACTGAGCTATATTTAAATATTTACATATATATATATATATTGTTGATTCTTACTCTCGAGAATCTCTACAACTTTGGAGAATTGGCGGGAGTTTCGCAATACATATCTAACACTATAAGCTAGGCATGTTTTTAAATATAAACGCAATCCAAACAAGCGTTGACATTAAAATAAATATATAAAAATAAATTCGTTACACTAACTACTAACCCCACTGACCAGCTTATCAAACAACAGTGTTTTCATGCAAGATGGCTTAAAGACTACAGCATTACCACTCTCCCATCGCCAGGTCAGTTACCAGATGTGAACCCTATCTGTTTCGTGTGGCTCATACTTGATTGTTTTCTGTCAAATCGTCGCAACCAACCAATCTCTTGGAACACTGTCATCCAAGCCCTTCTTCAAGAGTGGGGTACAATATCGCACGCCCATCAAATATTGATGTTTATCTCTTTAAAAGTTTTATGTAGATATGACAAGTAATAATCGAAATATATTTGCTTTTAGCCTAAAGATACTCAATTGACTATTTGCGTTTTGTTAACGGGGAGGAATCGAATCCCTGATTCCAACATTTTAAGTCCGTGAAAGTATTAATGATTGACAGGAGAACAGAGATGTAAGATATTAAGAAACATCGCATGTTTCTGGGTACATTTAAAATTGTCAGTAGAAGAGCGTTCTTTTTTTTTTTAATCTATAAACGGGGCAGTGAAAAATTTAAAAGGTGTCTGTTTCATCGGGTAGTTTACTCGTGTGATAAAGAGCATGAACCAAATTTACTTAGGTTTCTGTTGATTTATCATTTAAAATGAAAAAGACCTTCTTCACGGTTCATTAATTTCATGAAAATTATTCTCACGTTTGATTATGGTTTAGTAAACAACCAATCAGAATAAAATAGTTTTCCACGTACACTGTAAAAAAAAGTGTCTTATAATTATATTTTAACAAAATAGCCAAGAAAATTGGATATCTGGGTATGTGTAATTTGTATGTCTTTATCTTCATTTATTATTTCAATTTGATATTAAAAATTGGTCGGTAGAAATAATTGTATTGTATTTTTATTTTCATCTATGCGCTATCTGTATTGAGGAAATAAATTAATGGTAAAGTGAACATGTGTTAAATCATCCATGGGTTTATAGTTTAAACTTGTTAGAAGACTTATGGACACACGAATAAACATGAAAACAAAGTATTTCGTGCCTGTTCAGTTCTCTTGATCAACTTCTGCGTTTGTTTTAAATCGTTTCTTATTGCTTTACACAAAAACTCTGTTTTATATTTAGTAGGAGAAAACAGCCGTTGCTTCGAAATTCAGTTATCTTGATAGCGTTTGATGCCTCTGTATAATTTTAAATATAATGTATTAGAACAGCTGACTACCTACTATAAACGAAAAAACAAAAAAATAAATAAAAAACAAGAGCAGATGTGAGAAAATACTTTCTGCTAACCATCACTTTTCTGCTCTGCTGATGTCACTTCCTGGATACC